GACAGCTGTTGTTGATAAAGGTCTGCAACAGGCTGTTGGAAATATTCTTTGTGACCCGCCAAGTTTCTGATCCATCCGTATAGAAGAACTGACTGACTTGACGTTTGTATTGAAAATCCGAATCATTTCGTTGTTGATGTTGAGTGACGAAGATTTCCAGATTGGTTTCAGGTTGACGAATGTGTTTCTCGCCTTCCCGATTCTCGATTTGACATCCTCGTCAGTCCGTTCCTCCTGTAGTTGAGACAATGCTCCCAAGATAAGTGCTCCCTGTGAATTGATAACCACGAATGTATCTAAGGTGAGATGGAATCAGTTAGGGATCAGTGTCCACAGATGAAGCATGTTTTAGTACAAAGGACCGCTTCCATACTGGTAGGAGTTATTACCTGAACTCAATCCCACAGGTGAAATATTAGAATTAGTCGATATTTGAGTGTTTCTAGATAGTTTTATGAATGCTGGGGGGAATGTAACGTATGAGATCTCTTACTGAAAGCTGGGGTGGTACTTGCCTACTTCGGCCATCTTCACTATAATCGTAACAGTGGCCTGACTATCAAGGATCGGCTTTACAATTTTTTCTATGCGTGCAGTCTTTCTCTACACCTGTGAAACCCGATATCTTGAAGTTGAGGATGGAAGATAACTTTGAGTGCTCAATAATTGATTTCTTTGTAGAATATCTTGCATCCAGCCGCATCATCATTCTGGTGGTGTTTGTTTGGAAATAGTGAAGATCGACATCCAAGCCGGCTTCTTTGGCTTGTAAATGTACTATGATTGTCACCTCAGTGTCTATTATATCATCCATTATTTGCTGACCTTGGGACTAGGTGGAAAAAGCGGTGAGGTGCTCAGCCTGTAACGGCAGAAGACAAGGGCCAGGCAACAGCTCGTTTATTAAGGTAATCAACGCATATTTATAGATTTTCATGTACATTATTATAGATTATTGTTAGCAGAAAAACACAGTCTTCTGATTGGCTGTTTCTCACTGAGAGTTAATCTTTCATCTCTTTGTGGCTGTTTCTTTAAGGTCAGATCATCTATCTGCTAATTGTATCCGCCTACGCAAACAAAGTCTGCTGTGATTGGCTGTTGAGTCAGTCTTTGTTCTTATTTTTTTCACGACCAACATTTGGGATGTAAACATTGACGTAAATTACTGTCTGCCAATTTGGCTAGCAGCCGGCTCTCACCACAAGCCTACCATGAAGTGACCATGAGATGAAGGATACTTGAGTGACGTTATCATCTGTCGATGCATTTCAACTTCATGGATGGAAGTCAGAGAGATAATTCGAATCGGTCGTTTGAAACGTCATAGGATACAATGGAAAATCGTGGACAGTGGTGAACATACTGTCATTTCCTCCTTCCCTGTCTTTCTGTAAGTAATGTGAAATTATGAACGCTCCTTAAATGTTGTTGATAGGTATGTTTGCCTCTTTTTCATGATTCCGTGTGCTATTAACAAAATTTATCCGTAGTATAAATGTAACAACAAAAGGACCAGGCAACAGATCGTTTATTTGATAAAATCAACAGATATTTATATATTTTTATGTACATTATTATTAGCAGAAAAGCAACATCTTCTGATTGGTTGTTTTCCTGCTGAAGGTTATTCTGTCACCTCTTTGTTGGCGTTTCTTAGACAGTCGGGTGATATATCTGTGAATCGTATCCGCCCACGCTAAGTCTGCTGTGATTGGCTGTTGAGTTCGTCAAGGTAAGGACCTTCAAAAAGTCAACAGCCAATCAGAACAGTCTATTATCCGATGACCTAGCCAATCATAAATGTGGCTAAAAATGTGTAAATAAGGTGTAATTGTCCTCAATAAAAAGTGTGTCATCAAGTCTCTTGCCTTTTCCCGTTACAAGTCTACCTTCTTTGCATACATAGTGTTTTATTACTTTTTGTGATGTATGCCTTAGTGCTCATATTGTGCTAGGGTTTGATAAGAGAGGTCTATAAACAAATCCACAGTTGAAGTGCTACGGTTTTCCAAGGATTTATTCCTTAGAGGAACGACAGCTAATTGCCAATCTGCTTAGCTCAACACAGGCTATTTAGTTCATTGTCACCCAGAGTTCTTTCTAACCGGTCGACAACCTTTTATTATTCAAAATATATTCTATACACAGAGTTTACGATACCTCGCGAATTCAGTTCACAAATAAACAGATCTGATTGGTTGAATGACATTGGAAGACCTCGGAAATTATAGCAAAATATAAAATGATAAAAAACTGTCCATTCAGATATTATCATGTCAGTGCAAGCATGCATGCATAAATCAGGACTTCACGGCTAACAACGACGATAGACTGTCCGTTCTAACACTTGAATGCATCTGAGTGCAGTGAATTGCTTCGTATTTAGAAATGAGTATTTTCCAAAAGAGTTTGTTTATAGGGATTCGATATGTTTCAAGTTTCATCACGGATTAAGATCCGCGAAAAAAGCATTGGAAACCAACATGGAGTACTGACCAGCTGTTTCGTCCCATTTTGAGACTCTTTACCACAGGGGTTCAAACACAGGACCTTCCAGTTACAAGGCGAGCTCGTAGATCACTCAGCGCCTGAGTACTGTCAATGAGTCCCAAACTAGGACAAAACAACTTCTCAGTACTCATTGGCAGTTTTCATTGGTTCTCTAACTGAAATCAATCCGTGCATGGTGGATCTTGAAATTCCTGCAAATACACTCTTCAAAAGGGGTCTAAGAACACTATCCAGCGTGGCTGAAGAAGGGAAGTAATGGCTGCATAAGGAGTGCAATAATCCAACATCTCTTCAACACTGGTCATTCCATCTCAACAAACGCCTCCTTCAAAGTAATCTACAAAGTGAAGAACAACCTTCCAAAGACAGTACGATTCCGTCTTATTTGCATTGCAGAAGCCCTAGCCATTAAGCTAGAGGAACCAGAATTGTGCATACAAAAGAAAATTATTCAACCACTTCTACTCCCATGGTAACAACTGTGTTGATTTGACTTAACGTTTGTTTGTATGCCTATTTTTCTACTTAAAACCCTTTCGTAATTCCGTATGTTATTTTGTTTCCATGTACACCCTGAGCACAACTCTTTCATCAAACTATTCATGTTACTAAGTAACTCCTCTTTAACAATCGTTTCTGACAACTCATCACTTTTATTACCACCCTCTTATATCAACATCCAATTCATCTGAACTTACTAACTGTATTTTCGTTTGACAAATTTAATGTAAACACACACATACAAAACAACCATATATATTTGTGATTGTACAGCTATGAAAATGAATTCGCCGTCGAAAAGAGACTCTTCGCTGAACTACTTGTCTTCAAAATTAATCTGATGCTTTCTAGTGACTGGCAGCAGGACGAAGTTGCCTGTCTGTACGTCCACTGAGAAGTCGTAACCATTCGGGTCCACCCGGTTGGCCATGAAGACAAATACTAGGCAGTGATGACACTAGCTGGTAGCAGCCGTGCGTGCTAAAATCACGAATTGGTAGGAATCAAAATTCATGGACTGACCGTTGAGGAGTCAGGTCCCAGTGGATGAATGCTGTACGAGCTTGCCTAGTAACTGAAATAGCCTGAGTTCGAACCACCTGTAGTGGGTGTGCACTGTCGATGAGTCCAAAACTAAGAAAAAATGAGTATTTCCAAATCCTATTTATGATAAATTTGTATCCTATAGAAAATCAAAACAAATGATTCAGCGAAGAGACTCATATGTCACATAGAATAATTCATAGGATGGATAGAACTTCAAAAAGGGTGTGCAATTATAAGATTAGTAGACAAATCGAATAAAATAAAGACTTTGCGTAGTACTGTGTGAAATTTAATAGCATAGAATTTAATGTTGCATAAAGGAATTGATTTAGAATGACAAGTGGAACAAGTGAAATAATACTGGGAACAATTAAAAGTGAGAGTAGTAATAGTAACAATTGACTTAATAAGGAAGAGAATACAAATTGAATAGACAAAAATGAAAAATTGGTAGAGCTAAAATATGATTAGGGATTACCATACTTAAGCTTAGAGGGATTAAGACCATGAAAGTTAAAGGGGAGGGGTTGAGCGAATTTTTTCTGTACACAGAGATCTGGCTTTTCTGTTTCGATAGCCAAAGATGGCTTCAGCAATACAGATGAGTCGAGTACATAAGGTTTTGGATAAATTTCTTTTCGCCTTGTTGATGATTTTTAAAGGCGGAGGCTATAGAGATAGGGTGATCATTATCGACCAGATGTTCATCAATGATCGCGCTTCTTATTGCTCCACTTCCACCTCTTCGTAACAGCCATGTAGGATAGTGTTCTTGCACCCTCTTGGACAAAACTCGAGTCGAATGACCGATATACCTAGGTCTACACGAGCAGGTGAATTGATAAACGCACATAGTGTTGGTCAACTGCGGGGTCTTATCCTTCAGGTTATTGAACAGTAATGGTGGACTAGGAAAGGCTATTCTCAGAGATGAAGCAGGGAATGTTCTTTTCACGGACTGTGTGATATCCTTCGTTTCATGATATCGGAAGCTAAGTCCCCTTTGAATTCCAAGCTCATGTACAGTATTTTCTTGGGTACGGTTGATAAGTCACGTTTTTTTAGGATTTGAACGTATATTCTTATCTATATATAAAACGTGGTGGAAATCCATTTTCTATTAGGATTTTCCTCAAGATGGATAACTCATCTTTCACAGTATCAGGGCTTTGTATCCAATTAGCAATGACAAACTGGTCTAACATAATATAATAAAATCACACACATACAAAACACGCACATACACACACACACTTAGACACAAACTGAACTAACCTGTTAGTTTGTTTATTAGGTATATCACACAGTGAAACAGTATTATTTACTGGATCCAGTAAATAATACTGTTTCACTGTGTGATATACCTTATAAACAAACTAATATGGAATTACTTACTACCACAGTGTCCAAGTTTTACACATATATTAATATGAACTAACCTGAACGAGCATTTATAGAACTTGTCGCTGGTAGAGCGAATACTTTTGTCAGTGATGAATTATTATTATTATTCATCATCGTTGAATTGTCATCCAACAGATAACCAAGACCAAGCCAACCACCAACAGATAAACACTGATGAATACATGCAGATAATGCAGCGCATAAATTACGCAAAAGGTATACTCTACGCTGACGATCCGCTGTTGGCGCCCAAATACAATCAGCACAATAATAAGCTCCAGCAGGAGATGATTGTGAGGCTTTTGCAGAAGTGTGTGATTTCAACTTTTTACCAGCAGTTGTGGATTTATGACGATGATGATGATGATCACACTGATGTGCATGCGGGGAATGATATGGATAAGGCAGGAGAACACTGACTAGAAATGGTGGAGGCAGGAGTTCCAAACACGTGATCAAATCATGAACCATATACTGTGAAATAGAAGTGAAACACAACAGCACAACATGAATATAACAGTCGGTATAATGAATAGATTATAAAAGCAGTACACCATTATTGATTGGTCTACATGATTAACTCCCATACATTAAGTGACGGGTTCGAAACCTGTTTTCGACATAGAACTTTGCACATATGTGCGGCACTTCAAGTCGCCACACTCCCTCCTTGTACCACACAAAGCAAGAGAAGAAAGTAGGAGAAATGCATACTAGAGACAGTTAACAGAGGTGTGAGACAAAGGTATAGTAATAACGGAGAACAATATAGTTTAATTGGAAATCATAAGTTACAAGGAGTGGATGCATCTACACCAGCCAGTGAGAACGATTTTGAGCCATGTCACCAATTGTTTCTAACCATTGGTTTTTACCGTCCCGAGGACCCCAACCAGGAAGTCTACACCTTTCTACATGGCTTAGTCTAACTGTTGTAGATTTCATTGACTGGTGCCATGTTTTGGATTGACCGCCAATAGCTCTTTTCTAGCCTGACCCTATATCAGCGAACATTGCCCACTGTCGAGGAAGGCGATGACTAGGCATACGTAAGACATGTCCTAACCACCTCAATCGGTGTAATTTCACCGTTTCGTCGATTGATTTTCCCCCTTTACCTAGCACTCGACCGATGCATAATCTCAATATTGCTCACCTTATTGTACCACTTCACAATGGAGATAGAACGCAGACACCTATGATCAAAGACAGCTAATCTTTTCATGTCTTCCACTCTAAATGGCCAGGTCTCACAGCTATAAAGGAGGATGGAGTGGACTGTTGAGCAGTACACCCGCCCTTTGGTCGATAGGCAGCCGGATATCACGTCTACGCCAGAGACGGCGTAAACTGGCTGAGATTTCTTCAGAGATCAACCCGTTGGCGTTGGCTGATGGTACTTCCCAATTAAGTGAAGCGGTCAACGTGCTCTACAACTTCACTTCCTATTTCTAATCTGGAAGTCGTGTAGTCTAATCCTGCAACACCATCTTACATTTTACAGGGGCGAATCGCATGCCAAACATTCGTAGATTGCAGCTCAAGGTGTTCAGAAGACTCTGCATTTTGTCAACATCCTCGCCTAGAAGGACTATATCGTCTGCATATTCTCTGGTAGCAAGTAAATCCCTGAGTCGCTGAAGTGAGTTAGGGTTAAGTCCATTATACAACCCACTATTATTCAGAGACGCTTTCCCATGTATGTATGCATGTATATATATGAAGAAAATCGTGGGTAATTTAAAGTAAGTTATAACTGTAATAAAAAGAATGAACACACTTCAACACTTCTTACCTTGATACGCTTCACTGAATCAGGCAACAGTAATACACCAGGTGGTAAACGCATCACTGTACGTAGCAATGGTATACCATCGATTAAGGCTACAGCTGACATGGGCCAACATGAATTCAGCGGTGAAGCAGAATAACCCCCACCACTATGCGCAACAAGATTACTATCCGATTTGTAAGCTGAATACTGTCCAGTGGATTGATTAGTAGGTAGACAAGATGATGCTGATGAATACAATTCATTCAACAGGAGAGATAATTCAATACGTACAGCTGGCAGTCGCATACCACTTGATCCGTATAAATCACAGAAATTGATTAATGATGTTAAAAAGGTTTCATGAGTCTAAAAATAGGGGCAGGGGAAAATTTGCGGGTGGAGGTGAGGGGAGCAGGAAGGCGTGAAAAAAGAAAAGCGGTGTTATTATAATGATAATAATGTAAAATAAACTAAACTAAAGAATATGGATTTATTCTAGAGTTATTTTTGAATTTCCCAGTCGACTGATATATACGAGGATTAATATGATATTATTTAGACTAACGGTTACTAACAGTAGAATCCACGATGTGTGTTTAGCACTATTCGGAACTTGTCAGCTGATTATTGTTATTCCCACTGATACTCGACGTGAGTTCAGCCATCGTTTCAGACGCCAAATCATCACCGGCCACATCACTTGGGCCCCCGACCGATAGCTGCTACCTTGACGTGGTGGTCAGGCTGGCATATCGCAATGACCCAACGAGCAACACTTGCTGGAACTTATGTTCCTGTAGGTCCTACCATGCCGGAGAGGTTGTCTGGATAGCAGTTAGACAAAAAGCAGCTACCCAATCCAATACTATGATTCAAACAAATTCACAAAATACCATGCCGGATCGGTCGGGGCCCGGATTAACAACGACCGCGCTTTCTGCTGCCATGTCACAGGGCAGAAGTGATAAATATGCTACTGAGACACACCAAACAAGAAAGAACAAACAAAAACAGGCCGCATGCGACCAGCCGGGCTCAAGCAGTTGTCCCCTGGGCTCTGCGGTCACATAACACTAACCCTTTCTCTGTTTCAGGTACCCAATGAGTCAATTAACTTCCATGGTGTGGGCAGCCGGGAAGTAACAACCGCCCACACACTTCCATAAGCACACAAAGCCTTCCTGAGCATCACTCACTTGGGCCGTAACAATCACCTTAAATATATATATATATATATATATATATATATATATATATATAGAACCAGTCAGTAGTGAGTATCTCAGATGAAGTTATCAAGTGGTAGTTGTTTTGATCATGAGAGAATCACTGGGAAACATGGTGGAGTAGAACGGGGTCAGTCAGTCAGTCAGTGGGCCTAGGTGAGCACAAAAACCTAGCAAAGTTTATATGAGTTGATTCTAATAAAATAAAAAATCTGGAGAAGAGCTCAGCTATGTAGCACTACACCATATGTAGTTACACACACGCAGCCATACAAAAGGTTGGATGGGATAAGATGACACTTTTAAAATCTAATGTAACAGGATGGAGGAAGAGATTCATATCAAATAAACTATCATAGATTCTTACTATCCCGAAGACATTAACCGAAGTGACAGTCCACACTGTCCTACGTGTCTGGGTGAAAACAACTGTTAACGATTTCATGAACTGATTCCAAGCTTCGGTTTGACCACCACCACTAGCTCTTTTCCAACCTAATCCTGTATCAGTTGACACGGTTCACCGAGTAAGGCGATGACTAGGCATACATAACATATGCCATAGCCATCTCATCGATAGATTAACCCTTCTTACTTAACACGCAACGGTTAATTTCAATGTTATACGTATACAAATGGCACAGCCTGGAAAATTCTACATACAATTATAAGTATCACCGACTTGGTAGAGACGACACCATCCTCTACTGCGCTTTTCCAGTCTACTATGGAGAAAGTTCACATGAGGAAATGAAGAAATTCTAGCGAAAGCTCGATACCGACTTAATCAGTAAATAGGGTATGAGTTCAAACAGCATTCGTCGATTGTCGTGGGAAACGAAAGAAAGAAGGAAATTGCAGCATGTTCATCATTGATTAATATTTTCGGCCATATCCGATAATGTTTCGAGCCATCGGTTCAAGCTATCTCACGGACTCCAACCAGGGATTCATGACGCACCAACCGATGCTAACCTAACACAAATATCCTTCGTCCCACGACGCCACGTCATGGGCTGACCACCTCTCAACTTTTTCCATCCTGTCCAGGGTTACTGAAAAGAGACCTGTACGGAAGCCTCTAGGAGGACATTCGCAGCACATGTCCACCAAGCCACTGAAGCCGGTGTTTCCAGATGACGACATTCAACGAATGGTAATGTCCCCTGTGTTCAAACACACGCCGCTAGACCTCAGAATCACTCACTAATAGGATGATGTCATCGAATGCAAGCAATCCTGTAGAGACAGCGACGGTTGAAAACGCAAAGTCGCCGCACATTCTCAGCTCAGAGAGAGCAGACTTCATATGCGTAGAGACAGACAGCTCGCACCGAAGCAGTGTAAACCCAACCTTTGACAGCCAGGCTAACGTTGCGACGGCGCCATAGGTGGCTCAAGTTGATGTATGCCATCCAAGCTTCCACGATACGGTTGGAAATCTCATCCGTTACCCCTCCGCCAGCAATTATACAACTACAAAGATACGTAAAATTATCGACAACTTCAAGAGGTTCACCTGCAGGAGTAAATGCATGTACACAGTCCTGTGTAATTAGACAGCGTAAAGCACATATTATACTTACTTACGCATAATGGCCCATGCTGAGGATTTATGAACAACCAGTTCCAGTGAGGGCGCTGATACAACTTCGAAAACAGATGAAACCAAAGCAGTAAACAGGCAAATTATACACACAAGAGCAGGCGGAGTGAGAGGGGAAAAGCAGGACAGAAACAGAGGGAGAGAGACAGCAACACCTACTTTTATCCAATCATAACGTGTTTTCAATCGTTTCAATTCTGCCTCTCGTATCTCTGATGAAACATTCGATAGACTCATAAATATACCAGCTAAAACAGAACCAGTGTTTCTAGTTGTCAATAAATACGATGTTGAAGTTAACGGACCAGAGCGTTCAGAATTGTCTGAAGAAACAACACCTATAGGGAGAAAATAATAATAACAATAATAATACCTTTATTCTAGATAATATGTACATAATTTTCAGTGCATTTAAATTGCAGCAAAATATCTACTCTTTATAAAGAATCCTCAAGTAAAATGGTGTTCGGCAGTACATCGTGTGACGTTGTGCCATGTTCCATCTGAAGCAATATCCAAATCTCTACGATGCTTTCCTCCTCATTTATGTTGAGAAGTACTCAGCATTACAGTAAAATCTAAAACTGTGTGCGAGTTCATGTAGCCACCCAGAAACACAGTTAGATGATCAAGACAATCAGAAATAGAAAAGAGCTTATCACTTATGATCATTATTATTTCCTTGGGTTCCAAGTGGAACATCAGCATCTAGTTTCCGACTCTTTACAGTACGCACCCAACGCCAGAGTTCGGACTCACGACCTTCTGGTTACAAGACGAGTTAGCTCGCAGACTACTCAGCCACTTGGATCCGACTTTTCAATAGCCAGTCCATAAATTCCAACTTCTGCCAATTCATGATATAGCGCGACCACTAGCGAATGTCATCGCTAGAGAGTATTTTTTCCTCACACCCAACCTGCTGCACCCCAGTGGTCACGAATTCTCACCGGAACCCAGGTAACTGCCAACCTGAATATAGGGCCAGTCACTAGTGAATACCAGATTAATATTCAAGTGTTGGTTTGCAGAGATCTAGTCGATTTGATGAAGAGTCCTCATAAAGCCAGGACGAAACAGCTGTTCCAATACTCCTAGGTTTTCCAATGGTCCTCTAACCAGTGTCAGTGGAACATAGGGCTTCAACAGCACGTCTCCACTTTATCCTAATTTCTGAGTTCCTCTTTAACTGGGCACACGATTGTCCAGAGTCTCTCATCTCCTTTCCGAACGACCTTCTACTTCATGTCACCCGCGGACCTGCGCCCCACTCATCGTTCCTCATTCAGGTTCCACTCGAGTGATGGCCAGCAGTGGGCGCGATGTCATTCGACGCTCTCCTGAAGGTGTGCTTAATCTGTCTCCATTTTCTTGTATATATTTGTTGAGCAATAAGTTCTTGAATGGTTCGTTCATTTCCAGAGTTTTTCCAAGAGAGCAGCTGATAAAGCCTCCAGCAAACTGTTGGAAATGCTTTCCGTGACACAAACGCCTAGTTAATGACCCGTATAGAAGAAATCATTGACTTAACATGCGTGCCGATAATTCGAATTTTGTTGTTTATGCTGAGCGAGAGCAGAAGATATTCGAAATGATTTCCGAGGGACGAGGTTGTGTACCCTTCCTTTCAGATTCTAGCACTGACATTTTCATCCATTCCTCCTGTAGATTTCATCGGATGTAAATTTAGAACGCTTCAAGTGATTTCAGCAGACCGCCAGATTTAAAGCATATCAAATCCACGAAAAGTAATTTCCAAGATTGGCTTTCTTTTAACTACAGAATCTGATCGAAATAGAGATGCAGTGCAAGAGAGCATTTAGAGTGAAAAATAGTGGTTTTAGTAAATTCCTCTTCTTCAGGCTCTCTACAACTGATAGAAGACGTGGTCGAGCCTAAACCGGTAGGAATCATCAGACCAGAGAACCTGATCTCAGTACTCCGAAGAATTATGATCCATCGCTTTGTGTACCTTCGTCTACTACTAATAATAATAAGACGAAGTACCCAGAGTAGTTATTTTTTCTTGTGTCTATTAGTTTAACTAATCCTGTTAATATCAGCTTTTGCTGTAGAAATTTCATTTTTCATCCTAGGGAATTAGAAATTATGCTTCACCACTAATCTCAATCTTTTAAACGATAACTAACTAACTGTGCGTCAGTGGCATAGCGGTTAGGACGCTCGCCGACCATGCATATGGTCCGGGGTTCGATCCCCGGCCGACGCACTCCTTTACCTCAATAAACCAGAAATAATTCTGGTGAAGGGGAAAGGTTGGGCATGAGGCTTGCAACCCCATCCTGTAAAATAAACACTGCTACAGAAACTTCAAATGTGAAGGATAAAAAAACTAACTAACTAACTTACTCGTATTGTATTCTGTTGCTTTTTCACCAGTAAGTGTAGGAGTAGAAGACTTGCTTAGACCAGTGAGGGAATTCACAACAGCCAATTCATTTTCAAGCCATTGCCATACATGTTGACGAAGAGATACACCTTCAGACTATATCAGTAAGAAAATAAAAACATTATTATTATCATTATTATTACTATTATTATTATTTTTATTATTAAAGAGATTTTCTTTAAAAATACAAATGTTCAGTAAACTAAGTAACTGACTTTAAATAGTGCAAGAAAAACGTTGCTTTGGGTAGAATAACATGGTACCGTTTCATTGTTTCTCTCTTTAGCTTCTCATCAACTGCTTCCAGCATAAAGAAATTATTCGTCTTCATGCGATGTCTATGGTAGTGAGCTGTCTACCTCAACTTCATTGACTTTGAAAAGGCCTTCAGCAGACAGCGTCATTCGAGAGGTGATTTGGAAACTGATTCGCAACTACGGGATGCCACTGACAATTATACATCTCATCCAACAGTTGCACGATAATGCTGCATGCCAAGTAATCCACAACGGGATACTTACGGAGTCCTTCGAAGTGAAGACGGAAGTAAGATAAGCTGGCTGCCTACTATCTCCAATGATGTTCGTAATTACCGTAGACTGGATAATGCGACAAATAAACAGCCGGAAACGAGGAGATAGGCATAAAATATACCCAAACGAAACACTTGGAGGATCTACATTTCGACGATGTGATATATGTCTAATTTCCCACAAACCCTGGAACATATGCAAATGAAAAGCACCAAGTTGGCAGAAGAAGCATCCAGAAAAGATAGGACTTCAGGTGAACATAGAGAAAACAGAGGTGATGAAGATTCCTGGCCAACAGCAACAGCAACAACAACACACAACAATCAGCATAAATGAGAGAAAGCTGTAAGAAGCAACCTCTTTTACCTACCTACCTACCTGGGAAGCATTGTTTCAGTTACAGGTGGACGGAACTGATGAGGATACCAAAGCGAGAGGATCGGGGAAGCGAGACCGGCTTTCATCACTGTCAAGTAAGTCTGTTCGGAGATCAAGAGCACTCAGAATGAAAAAGAAGATCTGGATTTTCAACTCCAATGCGAAGTTAGTGCTACTTGTTATACAGATCAGAGACTAGGTGCGACGCCACGTCACAAAGGCCACTTCGAACGAACTACATACCTTCGCTCAATACTACTTAAGATCAGATGGCCGGAGAGGAAAGATGTCTGGGAGCGAACCAACCCAACAGGTACCAATTGTGCAACAAATATGTAGGAAGAAATGGAGGTGGATTGGCCACACACTGAGAAAACAAACCATCAAGTGGGTGACATCACACGCCAGTGCGTTGCTAGAATGGAACCCGAATGGGAAGTGGCAAGTTGGTCGTTATTACGAGGGTGACATGGAGGAGGTCATGCGAAGAGGAGGGGTAAGCATGTGAGCATATGTAAAGACAAGTGGAAACGTTGGCAGAGAAGCGAACGCAATGGAAACATGCGCCTGAAGCCCTATATTCCTCTAGGAACTAAAGGAAACAATAATAATAATGTGATGTCTAGTTGACAGAGAGTTCAAGTTTAGACAAAAAAGTCGATGTATGCATACAATGTTAAGGGCAGTGAGTAATAAGGACAAGAGGTTAAAACCGAAGATTGCGTAATCAAATGAGAGAGAGAGATATCCAGTTACTAGGATGGGCAAAGGAAAGACTTATAACTGCTCCTCAGGATGTTAAAAACCAATTAAGGCTGGAGACAATCGGATATACGGATCACATTCTTCGTTTTCAATGATGGCGCAGATGCATTCACTCCTTGTGATTTATAATATCCAATATAACTATATTGTTCTTATATATTACTATTCCTTTTTCCTCACATTTCTGTTTATTATCTCTGTTTTGGACCTCTCTACTCTCTCTCCTCTTGCTTTATATGCTACACGAAGGAAGAGCGGCAACTCGGACTGTTGCACATCTATGCAAAGTTCTACGTTTAAAACAATCCATCAGTCAGTACTGTATATTAACATACTGTCTAGAGATGGTAACACCGGTGGGCTGCTCAAACATTACCGAGAGGGGTGATTGAGAAGGATTCGAACCCAAGACCCACAAGTTGAGAGCCCAGTTACTTACTTCAGACAATGAACTGAGGCATATAATACAGATATTTGAATAAAAAGAAAGACAACTCAACTACCAATAATCCAGTTACTCACAAACAAAACTGTGTGCAGACATTGTTTAAACGAGTTCAAACACATTGTAGCACTCCAGAGTTGAAAAAAATGGAAGAAAAGTACCTACAAAAGGTCTTCAAAAAGAATGGTTATCCACAAAATTTCATCAAGAAATGTTTAAAGTCGAATCAAAACACCAACAAGAAACCATCATCAAAGACCACAAGAGAATTCATTCTACCATACATGAGGAATATCTCTGAAATAACAGCTAGAATACTGAAAACCGTTAGATGTAGATATAGCACACAAGCCAGTCAAATCGCTTAATTCGATATTATGCAAACCAAAAGATCCAACAGAAAAAGGGGATAAAATTAATACCATTTACAAAATAAATTGTATGAACTGCAACAAGCATTACATCGGCCAAAGTTGGCGTCCCCTTCGAATCAGAATCCAAGAACATAAATCAGCCGTGAAAAGACATGATATGTATCCTTTAGTATCAATGCATACAGACAATTATGGTCATCAATTTGATTGGGATCATGTCAAAATCTTAGACAGAGGAAACACCAAAAGTGCAGTAAGGGAATTCCTAGAAGCCTGGTACTCAAACGCAATTAACATACACGTTAATATAGATGAAATATACCAACTAATAAAAAGTAAGTCAGGTGACCAAAAAGTTTAAAATCCAAGTCAACAGAAAATGGTCAATACATATGTAAAGACAGTCACCTGGAGACGCAATTAGATCACTCATGAAAAAATTTACATCATTTCACTTTGTGGTAAATATGGCGCTGAAGATGTTGTCCAGCAGAAGGACGACGAAAGCTTCGCAACTAAACCAACCAGCTCAGAGAACACTAATAATTGCAAAAAGAAAGATAACACAAGACAATATATATATAACCTTACCTCAGCTCCAGCTGCCAGTGTACTCAATTCTTCAGCCAATATTTTTAAACAAGCAATAAACTTCAGTTGATTGGCTATTAAATCAACAACTCCACGACCTATAGACAGACACACACGATGCAAGAGTAGTTTTATTATTATCAAATAAAGACGAAATAAACACGCAATGAAAATATGAAATCAACCTTATATTTATATGAAGTATTGGTTAACAAGGATTGTGATCAGTTGGACATTTCAACACAGATTAACATCAGTTAGAGAACCATTGAAAACCAAGGAGTGCTAGACAATTGTGTCATACTTTTGATTGGACACTAGTTACTAACTAGCGTAATATTTCTGTACTGCTTTGTCTGTTCAGTGCAGACTGAATTCTATCAGTCACGTCTGTAATGTGACCACCATGCCATTAGTTGGCTAGCCATCACGGTACACTTTGAATTAATTAGATTCCATGGTTGGAGGAAATCGGCAGGAAGCCCCAGCTGACCAAGGTTTCGTGCCAGTTAGAACTCAGCAGTCAGTAAGGCGTATCTGAAATCACCTTGAAGGATACCATGTCCCCTCTGAGATTCAAATCCACGTCACCCAGTGCCGCGTGCAGTCAGAGAAGTTACTACTGAGCAGGTATTCAGACTGACGATTGACCTATTGTTGGATTGCATCGGATACTTCGATTGGATACTAATTAGTAACTAGTCTGTCTGTCTGTTTTCGACAGAGAACTTTGCACTAATGTGCGGCAGTTCAAGTCGCCACACTCCCTCCTTGTACCACACAAAGCAAGAGAAGAAAGTAGGAGAAATGCATACTAGAGACAGTAAACAGAGGTGTGAGACAAAGGAATAGTAATAACGAAGAACAAAACAGTTTCATTGAAAATCATAAGTCACAAGGAGTGGATGCATCTGCACTATCCATTGAGAACGATTTTGAGCCATATCGCCAATTGTATCCAGCCATTGGTTTTTACCGTTCCGAGGACCCCAACCAGTCAGTCAGGAAGTCTACACCTTCCTACGTGGCTTAGACTAACTGTTGTAGATTTTATTGACTGCTGCAATGTTTTCGTTTGACCGCCGCTAGCTCTTTTTCAGCCTGACACTATATCAGCCAACATTGCTCATTGTCGAGGAAAGCGACGACCGGGCATACGTAACACATGTCCTTACTATCTCAGTCGATGTAATTTCACAGTCTCGTCGATTGATTTCCCCTCCTTACCTAGCACTCGACGTCTAACCTCAATATTGCTCACCGTATTATACCACTTCACACACCTGGGAGGTAGAACGCAGACACCTATGATCACAGACAGATAATGTTTTCATGTCTTCCACTCTCAATGGCCAGGTCTCACAGCCATGAAAGAGGACGGAGCGGACTGATGAGCAGTACACACGCCCTTTGGTCGATAGTCGGATATCACGTCTACGCCAGAGACAGCGGAAACTGACATATGCGAAACTAGCCCACTGTATCCGTGCTGAGATTTTGTCAGAGATCAACCCGTTGGCGTTGGCTGATGGTACATCCCAAATAAGTGAAGCGGTCAACGTGCTCTACCACTTCACTTCCTATTTCTAATCTAGGAGTCGGTATAGTCCAATTCTGTAACATCATCTTGCATATGGCGGGAGCAAATCGCATGCCAAACATACGAAAATTGCTGCTCAAGGTGTTCAGAAGACTCTGCATTTTGTCAACATCCTCAAATAGAAGGACAATAATGTGTCTAGTTCTCTTTCTGGTGCAGACTGTATTCTATGTCACGTTTGCAATGTGGCCAGCACTCTAGGTGGCTGGCCATCACGGTGCACTTTGAATTGTTGATATTACAACTAAACGGGTTCAAATCTCAGAAAGGAGCATGAGTTCCTTCAAGACGATTGCAGATACGCCTTGCTGACTGACTGGTGAGTGCCAACTAGCACGAGACCTAGGTCAGATGAGGCTTCCTACCAATTGCCTACAACCATGTAATATCAATAACTGTGTCATCCTAGTTTGGGATTCTACAACAATACGGCACTCGTTACTCCACCAAGAAGCGAACCCAGGACGAGCCTATTGGTCATCTAACCACAGGGATGGAATCTTATAGTCAATCCCTGAATTCTAACTTCAATAAATTCGTGATTTATAGCAACCTTGTCATCAGCAGATATTCATCCTCACACCCAGACACCTAGAAGACCCCACACTGGTCCTTCCTGTGGTCAATCAGTGATGAAACATACACGCGTTCATCACATGTGTTGTAAAGACTACAAATATTAAAAAAGATGTCTTTGAATCTGTGACCAACTGCCTTAAAACCTTATTACTTAAGCCAATGACGTGTACACAGATGGAAAGTGAAATTATGATTTCAAGGATGGACTTTAATAATGAAACAAATTGAATCCATTTACTACCTTAGTTAATGTCAAAAAAATGAAACAATCTTAGCATAAATATAAACATAGATAGACTATTGAGAACAATTAAAAAAGAACTATTTAGCTGAAATAATTGATTAGTACTCAGATGAAGTGATGCATATGAAGTACCGGGATTTTAAATAAGTGATTGACTCTAAAGTAATAAGAATGTGAGCAAAATTACTATATACTGATGACCCGGCAATTATCCGAGCAATGATAGCTCACATAAGCACGATCAGGTTGAAAGAGAGCGAATGGTGATCATACTAAAACATGGCTTCATCAGTCAATGAAATCCACAACATTTAGGTTAAGCCAGCCAGCCAGCCACGTAGGAAGATATAGACTTTCTGGTTGGAGTCCTCGGGATGGTGAACACCAATGGCTGGCTTACTTACTTTACTTCGCCTATCTCCTACGGGAGGATGAGCCGGCTTCATGAACATCTCGAATCATCGCTGCCCAGGCGCGGCGATCTGTTTATAAGAGAGTTCATGAAGTTTCATGGGAATTTGGTAAGAGTGATGTCCCCAGAATCGCTCGGCCTTTTGTTTGAGAGTGCAGCTCTAGCCTTTACACAACCAAGTGTGACCTACAAGGCAGTAGGAGTGGAGTAGGGAGTCCACTATCCATTGGCAGCCGGTGACCGGAGTTCGGTTCATACGCCTTTTTGAATGGGGCCAGACATCCAGGACATCCAACAAGCCCTTTGTCCATACGTCTGCCGGTGAGCTCCAGTGAGCTTCATACGCCAGTCGTTGGAGGTTTGGAATCAGGGTTTAGCCATCTCCCCTAGACTGTCATCCAATGGACAGTCAACCCGGTGAAGAGCGCCGAGCATCCGCTTTCGCCCTCTCACTTTGGTGAAAAAACACCTCCGCCACGTGAAGGCAGTGAGTAGGACTTCCTCAGGAGAGGCTATGTAAGACGCCCGGTCTTATGGGAGCATTTCAAGAGGTGTGCGGAGGGGTGGCCAACCCGCAGCGCAAGGCACCCACCCCCGACCATCCTGAGGCTTTGGAGGCTGGCGCAGATTCATTCACTCTTTGTGATGCGTCATATCCAACAAAACTCTGTTGTTCTTCCATATTATTACTATTCTTCTCCCCTCACTCACAATTCTGTTCTCTTTTCACCCTTTTATCTTGCTCTATGTGCAAAATGGAGTGTGACAATTCGAACTGTTGCACATCTGTGCAAAGTTCTACATTTAAAGCAGTCAGTCAGTCAAAGAGAGAGATTTACAATGTTGATAAATCAGTCAGTCCACATTAGGAAGTACATCTGAAGACTCTATTTAAGTTACTTAACAGATCGGTATATCATGAAGTCGGAGGCTGTGAGATTTGTGAACAATACTAAGAAATCACAGTGGACCTCCACAAACAGGATTCGAATTCAGTTCAAAAATTATTAAACAAATTTTCATCGAACTATATATTACTGCTGATTGATTGAAATAAGTAGTAGTTGTATACCATACCCATCAAATCAACCAGAAATACTTGCTAGCCAGTCAACCCGCCACATCGAAGTGACCTAAACACCACAGGATGGCCGTTTTGTTCGTTTAAGGGTCGACCTCCTTATCAGCAGTACATCACCAGTTTGATTCAGATCAGAGGGCTGAATCCGTTCAAACCAAGCCGATTTCTGGCTACTTAGGTAAACTCATGACACCATAAATCCAATTAACAATTAGCAATACACACAGTCCCGCGGGTATTAAGCAAACCACTTAATGTGATATGTGTTTGGTTCCCTAGCTGATGTCAGCTTATAACTTAGAAGAGGAAGGTGAGTGTTGGTCAGGAAAGTTTTGTGCGCTTATGGAAGTGTTTGTAGGGGCGGTAATATGTTTCCAAATGCTTACATTATGGAGGTTGATTCTTTTTTGGGGTACATGAAACGAAAAGAGTATTATGGTTACATTACCACAGAGCCTGAAGGACACATTGCCTGTTTGGAGTGGTTACAGGAGTTGTATCCATACAAGCACCTTACCGCTAACAGGTAAGCCAGGATGTTTTCCAGATAGACCTTTTCTATATCCCCCACCTCTCCAGAACGGAAAGGCAGTACAGCTAACATGCTGGTCATCTGAGGAAAACACCGTAGTGCTGCTACATCCATACTTACCAATAAACCCTCGAACATGTTTCTGGTCTAACGACGATCCAAACGACCTTTCAGGCGCCATTTTAGGTAGGAAGGACCTGAAAAAACACTACTTCCAGTCAGGATAGCTCTTCAGGTGTCATTTCGATTATGCAAACCACACGACCATTGTCAAGGTAGCAATTATTAGTCGGGTCATCTCATTACAGAACCTAATTGAGAAATTGTTTATCACCTTCTCAAAGAAGAGAAACACAATTCAGAAAAAAAGGGGTTAAAAGTTTTTCTCACCTTCAATGGTGAAATCATCCAATGACTGAGATGTGGTCTGTTGTCGATGTTGTTGTTGTTGTTGAAGAAGAACAGGATTATTTCTCGTAGACTTGTCAGCAGCACCTTCAGTTTTATCCTTATGACCATCATCATTGTCGTCGCCTTCATCATCACTCCATTGAAGAGTGAATTGATCTTGTGATTTCGCTGATTCATACTTTTGAATAGGATCATCAAATGACAAGGTGAAGAGATTATCGTCATCCTCTTTCACAGTACTAACCAATTGACAAAGGAATATGAAAAGAAATTAGATAAACAATACTACTTAATATTCTATTATTTTAGGATTTCATCATGAGCAGACATCGGTTACAGAATGATTGGAAAACCAGCCACGGAGTACTGCACAAAGTTCGGGACCCCTACAGCAGTATGCACCCACCACAGGAGTTCAAACCCAGTTACAAGGTGACCGCTCGTAGACCCTATTAGGCCACTGGGACCTGACTCCTCAACTGGACAGCCTATGAATTCCAACTCCTGTCATGATAAAGCGTGATCGGCACTAGCTAATTTCATCGCTGGCAAGAATTCGTCATCAGACCCAACCCCTGTTTTTTAACTGTCGAGACACTACACTTTTTCTAATGTTAATGTCAATAAAAGTTTGAGCATTGTGGGATTGATCAAATTAATAGTTTACACACAATGACAAGGTTTTTTTGTTTTTCGGGAATATTTCGAGCGAAATGACTGCCCATGATCATACCAACTGTTGGAAATGTTTTGTTTTTTCCAATTCACACTGAAACGGTAGAAGACGAAGGCTTGGTAAGGGAATGTTTACTTGGAAATTGGTATCTCTCTATATATTTTTACGAATTGATCACGGATTGATATCACAGTTAGAGAACCATTGAAATTCAGGAAGTACTGGACAGCTGTTTCATCCAACTAGTTTGGGAATCACCGGCAGTACGCACCCAGTGGGATTCGAATCCAGGACCTTCCAGTTACAAGGCAAGCTGGCTCGTATACCATTCAGACACTGGGACCCAACTCCTCAATGGCCAGTCCATGAATTCTAACTGCTACAAATTCGTGATTTAGCGCGTCGTCCGTGGGACATACATCCCCACACTTGATATTTGGATGGTCACCACTTCTCACTAGAACTGACTCCAGGAAACTCCATCCTGTAGCAAGTCACTAGCGAGCATCTAATTAATTTTCTATAGTTTGGTTTGTTAGGGTTGATCACGGATTGGTCAACTCGTAAAAACATAACTAATCCTCACAAACCAAACTAAAGAAAATACCTCTATATAGCCAAATTATGCATAACTTGTGTTCATTTGCACAGATCTCCATGTTGTGTTACTTCTAGACTTCATATTGTGTTTCTTTGTGTTCCTTTCACGACGTCTCCCATAACGCTGGCACAGATGCATTCACTTCATTTGTGATGTGTCATATCCATTAAAATTATATTGTTCTACCATGTTATACCATTCATTTTGCCTAATATTTCTATTTATTATTGCTCTTTATTTTCTTCTCTTACTTTGTGGGCTACAAAGAGGCAGTTTGGCAACTCGAACTACACTGCACATCTATGCAAATTTCTACGTTGAAACCAGTTAGTCAGTCAGTCATAAGAGTACAGTATTGTGTTAGGTCACAAGTGTGACCTATTCATTTCTGTAGCTGCTAATATTGTGGTGAGAGCTGGCTGCTAGCCAAAATTAGTAGACAGTAATTTACGTCAATGTTTATGTCCCCAATATTGGTCGTGAGAAAAATGAGAACAAAGAATAACTCAACAACCAATCACAGCACACTTTGTTTGCGTAGGCGGATAAAATTAGCAGAGAGATGATCTGACCTTCAAAAAACAGCCACAGAGAAATGAAAGACCAACTTTCAGTGAGAAACAACCAATCAGAAGACTGTGTTTGTTTGCTTAACTAATCTATAATAATGTACATGAAGATATATAAATATGCTTTGATTTCCTTAATAAACCATCTGTTGCCTGGCCCTTGTCTTCTGTTGTAACAATATTACAATAAAAAGTGCTCAATCAACTCGAAAACACCAAAGATAGCACACATACCTTTCCTTCTTTGCAGAAATTTCCGATTGACCAACATGTCCCGACAATATTTCTGATTGACGCCTAGATGTTGAAGATGGAGTAGTCACAGTGTCACCACCAGTTGACATTCTACGTATATGATCCATATATGATGAAAAAGTCACTAGCTCAAGAGGTGGAAGTTTAGTCAGTACTTCAAGTGCTAATGTTGGACATCCCAAGACAAAATAATGATGAGCAGTTCGAAAGTATAAACGTCTCTCTAAACTCTTCACACGATATACAGCACCAGAATCGATTAGGTTTGCTGCTTCAATACGCTGTTGACGTAATACCAGTGGATGAGATTGTAAATACGTGTAGAATTTAAAAACACTTGGGCATACAGATTTTGTTGGTGGTGTTGTTGTTGTTGAAGAAGAAGAACCAGTTCCAGGAATTTGATTATTACCAGACAAATGTCGTGGATGTTGTGGACTCTGTTGAATCGACTGCGATAGACTATCTCTTTTCGCAGGAATACCTGAATTATCAGGACTCACTAGGATTCCAGGACCTTCCAGTAGAGTCTGTAAAGCAGCTAATGGATCACCCTAAATAATTTTTGAAAAAACCAAAAACGAAAAATTATTAGAGTTAAAATAAAACTGCTGAAAAAATGTTCAATTCAGTTTGAACTTTCTCCTTGATTGATCGATTGACTGATTGGACCGAAGTGACTGGAGTCAACTAAGTGTTGACAGGTCAGCTCCTTGTGCGGTGGATGCTTCAACGATGTAGGATTATTTAACTTGAAGTGAAGTGGTGGATGGAGGCTGGTTGATGAGTTCCAAATGGGACGAAATGCGCATCTTGAATTCCACCACTGGTGCTAGTCACCATCCCCTAATTTTACGGTAATGAGTAACGAATACGAATACAGAATCCAATATATGATAATTATTTCTTGGTCTCCAAGTATTACGTGTGACCTACGAACCCGAAGTGAACAGTGAAGATTTGTAGGACGCGGTTGATGAGAAAGATTGAATGCATCAGTGTCATTAACAGTTCCCAGCCAGTAACTCTCATCATCATCATATTATTATTATTATTCCCTTGGGTTCCGAGTGGAACGTAGGGCTTCAACAACACATCTCTACTCTCTTCTACTTTCTGATCTTCAGTATTGAGTCAAGACGGCAACTTTTGATGAAGGATTACAGTAACCTGTCTGAAATGCTTTTCGTGATGCGTCATACATCAGGTAGCACTTTCATATTATTGAAATTGTGTCTTGGACAATCGATGCTTTAGTTTTCAAGTTTCACCATGGATTGATATCAGTTAGAGAACCACTGAAAGCCACCAGGGAGTATAGCACATAGCTATTTCGCCCCGGTTTGAGACTCGTTGGAAGTATGCTCCCCCTGCAATGGGTTCAAAACCAGGACCTTATAGTTACAGCCACTGTCATCCGACTCCTCAATGGCCAGTCAATGAATTCTAACTTCTAACATCTTGTGGTTTTAGCGCGATGACCAGCCAATGTCCTCACTGTCAACTGGATGCATTTCACTGAGCACAACTTCTCACTAGAAGTCCAGGCAACTTCGTCCTGCAATCAGTCACTAACCAGTATCAGATTAATTTTCAACAGTTACTTTGCAGGGATTTGATTCCCCTTAATTTTGACTACGGGTCGTTTCCCAGTTTTTAGTTTCGAAACTCAGTTTTTACCGAACACGTTTTTCCTGTTTAAAGCTATGCACTACATTCATCGTGTGTGTGTGTGTGTGCGACGCCAAATGATACTCAGATACTGACGCTGCAGTAGGTGAAGCGGGATTTCGAACTATCGACTCACTGGTTATAATAAGAATGATTTTGTCAATGAATCCCGGCCTCAATATTAACCACTCACTATGATTCTAGAAAAAGTTAACAGTACATGCAGACAATTGCAGTAGACGTTTATCAACAGCTGCTCACTTCGCTGGTTCCATGCTGAAGATCAGATGACCCTACAAAAAAGAATAAGTTAACAAAGACCTCTGATAGGGGACAACGAACTAACCAAGATCCTATCACCTAACAAATATGCTTCAGAAGTAAATTGAAGTAAATTAGGAACATGTTGACGAGGCCTCCAGTTGACGTGTCACACGCCAGGCATACCCGCAGTGAGGTGTTGGGAGTGGACCTGAGAATAAGATAGAGGTAGTAACGTGAAGAGGAAAGAAGAAGACTATGGGCAATCGTGAAGACAACAGTGAAGTGCGGTTGAAGCCGAATTCTCCGTTCGGAGATACAACAAACGCCCGTGAACAGTATTTCCTTAAAGCTTTTGCTATATATACCTACGTGAATAATAAATTCAAGATAAATAGTTATTTATTCTCATTGATGTTTGAAGATTAACACAATGATCAACTTACTAAACTCCAAAAGGCCATACTTCTTAAAAATGGATCCTCGTGCTTGATTAAATGTTGTCTGAGGAAATCATGGTAAGCAGATACTGTTGTATGTCCTGATATTCCCGGTGACGATGATGTATACAGTCTAAAATCGGAAGAAATATACACGAGAAATTTATTAGGCAAAGCAAAAGTGGTATTTTGAAGTACGCTTAGTTCACACACCGATATCCGACAATAAAAGCTTCAAATGATAACTTAAGAGCACTGTCTCATTGTTTCGTCTCATCCAGGGAATACTCAACAGTGCGCATCTGAGATCTAACCACAGAACAAGGCATACACGATCATGAAATTATTATTTATACTAATCCTTTTCATCTCCTCAACACACACGACCTCCTCCATGTCACCCAACAGCTTTCTCAACATGTGTCCCATCCATCTCACTATATTTGTTGGTTGAGTAATAGGTCTCGATTGGTTAGTTCCCACAGCTTGTTTCTGAATTTTTCTGGTCACCCGTCTGATCTTCAGTATGAAGCCAGTGAAGAAGGCCGTTGATGCAAATCTGTAGTAGCCTGTTAGAAATGCTCTATCGCAACGTTAATGTCAAGTTTCCGAACAATATAGAAGAGAAGAACTGACCGGCTTAACATTGGCGTTGAAAATCCGAATGTCGTTCTTTATGCTAAGTGATTGAAAGTCTGCCTTGCCTTTCTGAAACGACGCCTTCTCGATGAGTGAAGGAAGTGACCTCTTCCAAATTTATCCCGTTGATAATGATTAATGCTTATTGTTGCTGGTTGGTTGCTTGGTTATCTTCATCAACTCTGTCTTCTCTATGTTCACCTGAAGTCCTGTGTTTGCTGCATGTCTCTTCTCCCAACCTGTTGGTTTCACCTGTAAATCTTCATATTTATGTGACATTGGAGATAAATCATCCACGAAGTCTCGTTCCTGTTTTCTGCTCCCCACAGCCTGACGCATGTTTCCAGTCCACCACAATTAAGAATGTCATCGATGATAGTAGTCAGTCTTGTCCTAATCTTGCCATCGTTTCGAAGACTTCTCTGAGCTTTCTGTTGTGGATCACTCGACACATAGCATTGTCACATACAGCTGTTGAATTACGTTGATAAAGATTTTAAGCACTCCATAGTGTTCGAGGGAGCAATTTCAACATCCAGCTGTTGAGTAAGAATTCAACAATCTATAAACTTAAACTTCTTTCAGTTCAAGACAATATCTCCAAAACTGTCGATGAGTGAGCATCAATCATTACACCCCTAATTGGAAAATCAGTATGGACTGATGACGTAATTTATCCCAATATTAAACAAACTCCCGAAAATTCCAAATTCTGAATCTTCACCTTTATTCCTTGCTTCCGCATTGAAATATAAGGGCTTCAGAAGCTTCCTGAATTTTCAGTAGAAGTGGTATTGCTTGCCATAAGCTCAACCAGCCGTCCTAGCCTACTATCTTCTTGTCAACTCGGCGAATACTGCGAGTGGATGAACCAGGTATCGATCCTAGAACTGGGTCAGCATTCTACCATTGGAACAACTGACGCACAGAGTTCTGAAGATTCACTAATCAACCTTTGATATGGAGATCCTGACACTGTAGTGAGAAGCTGTGACTGTTGAGGTACAGCATTCTGTCAGCTGGGCCAAGAGATATCCAACTGCAAACGAACTGATGAATGCTCAATTGACTAAAATCACCGGATTCCAAAAGTTGGAATTAAGAACCATAGTTTAGAATTGACATATCTCAAGTAATATCAATGAATGATAACATGCTCAAATTATGAGCATTAACTGTCAAGAGTATACGCTATATAATGTACTGAGTATTTTGCAGTAATGCCTATCGCAGTAGCTTAACAAGCTACACTGACCGGAAAGAATATTCCTGCACGTCTCGTCCTATCATGTCAAATATAATGATAGGAAATTGAAAGTTGTCTGAGAGCCAGGGAATAGGAATGTAACACAGTAATAAGGCGTTTCCCTCAGATGACTAGCAAGTCAGTTATGCTGTGTACGGAAGGGGATGGGTTGCTAAAGATAGATCCCTATATTCAAGTGTTGGTTTGTAGGGATTTGATTGGTTACAGGATTTTCATCATGAGCTGACATTAGTTAGAGAACCGTTGCAAAACCTAGGAGTACTGGACAGCTGTTTCGTCCTAGTTTGGGACTCTTCATCAGTACGCATCCACCGGGATTAGAACCCAGGGCCTTCTGGTTACAAGGCGAGCTCGTAGACCATTAAGCCACTGGGACCCGATCTAATAGCCCATGAATTCTAACTTCTGCCAATTCACGAAATTGCGCAACCCCTAGCCAATGTCTTCCGTGGCGAGTATTTGTCCTCACACCCGACCTGCTGCACTCTACTGGTCACGACTTCTCACTAGAACCCCAGGCAACTACCTACCTGAATAGGGCAAGTCACTAGTGAGCATCTCATTGATATTCAAGTGTTGGTTTGTAGGGATTTGATTGGTTACAGGATTTTCATCATGAGTCCCAAACTAGGACGAAACAGCTGTCCAGTACTCCCAGGTTCTCTAACTAATGTCAGCTCATGATGAAAATTTTGAATCTTCACGCTTATTCTTTGCTTTCTCAGTGAAATATAAGTGTTTCACACCTTCTGAAATTTCAGTAAGTGTGCTGTTGCTTTAACGCAGTCGGCTTGTCATAAGCCATAAGCCCAATCTACCCCACCCCCTTTTCATTGGCCTACTATCTACTAGTCAACTGGATGAGGCGACTAAGAGTGAAGTGACCGAGGATCGACCCTAGAACTTCAGCTATAACTGGGTCAGCATTCTACCATGGAACAACCGACCTAAAAGGTTCTGAAGACTCATAGTTCAAGCCTCAAAATGGAGACTCTGACACTGTAGTGCGATGCAGCATGCTGTCAGCTGTGGAAAAATACAATTGTATGCAACATCATAATTTGCAGTCAACGCTTTAGGCAATATCCAGCTACATAAGAAATGACGAATGCTCAATTGACTAAAATCACCGGATTCCAAAAGTTGAACTTTGGAACCATGGTGTAGAATTGACATATCTTAAAGAAAATATTGATGAATGATGACATGATCAACGTATGAGTGTTGACTGTTAAATTTGTACGCTAAATTGCACTCTAGCTTCTTGACACATATTAACTCACTAGTAGAGGGGATAAAATTCACATTTGAATCGGAAGATGAACAAGGAGAGTTAGCTATGCTAGATTGTAAAATAAAACGAATAGAAGAAGGTAAACTTCACACTAGTGTTTATAGAAAACCAACGCAATCTAATAAATATTTAGATTTTAATTCGTCGCATCCGTTAACTGTTAAGGCAGGCTTAGTTAAGTGTCTAACAAACCGAGCCATAGCACTAAGTAGCACAAAAAAAGACCTAAACGACGAGATAAAACAAATAGAAGAAGCGTTGGTGTTGAATAATTATCCTTTAAAATTCATTAGGAAGATAACTAAAGGCCAAAAACAAAATAAAAATAATTATGGAACTAGTAATGATAACATAAATAAGAGAGAATATAAGTCATCCACTGTTATACCATATAAGGAGGGGACATCTGAGACCCTACGTAGGATTATGAATAAGGCAGGAATTAGAGTGGCATTTAAACCTACAAACTCACTCAGGGACAAGCTCTGTAGGTTAAAGGACCCAGTGGACCCAATTAGACAAAATAATATAATTTACAAAATACCCTGCAATGACTGTGAGGTCAACTACATAGGTCAAACTAGTAGGTCAGGGGTAGTCAGATTGTCAGAACATAAGAATTTAGCTAAGGTAAGAATGGTTGACCCAGAGAAGATAAGTAATTTAGAAAAAAAGCTCGGCAATTGCAATGCATGCATTAATGCACAACCACAAAATAAGATGGGACAGAGTCAAAATTCCAAAAAGTAATCTAGGTAGGTGGAAAGAGAGGTTGATTACTGAATCTTTGTTCATCGAATCTACACCCAACACATGCAATAGGAATGAATAATCACTCATACCTGAAATATGGAAAATAATACTACCAAATCAAATCAAGTGAAAAACAATGGAACTATATAAATGAATTTAGGAAGTCGTGTGAGTAGTGCCTTGATATGATTATGAGCAATAAATTGTGCTCGAAACGTCATCAGTAAATATTACTGTATAACACTGTGAGACTCTATCAAAATAAAATTTACCCATAATGGAATTACACTCTACCACAGTGCCCAAGTTTTATTCTTATATCACTGAGTATTTTGTTGTAATGCGTAATACAGTGGCTTAACAAGTTACACTGGCCGGAAGGAAAGTTCCTGCACGTCTCGTCCTATTATGCCAAAAATAATGTTAGGATAGTGATCAGACTACAACCAGTTACCGTCATATTGAAAGTCGTCTGAGAGCTAAGGCATATCGGCTGAGGAATAAGAAAGAATCTAACACAACAGTAAGGCGTTCCTCTCGGATGATTAGTAAGCCCTGTTATGCTGTACGGAAGGGGATGGGTTGCTGAAAATCGATCCCTAGAATTGTACATATCAACATGTCTTGCAACAGTCTCCATAACCGTGTAGTGACAGCTGTCTGCTGGCCAAAATTGGGAGACAGCAATTTAAGTCAATGTTTACGTCCAAAATCTTGGTCATGAGAAAAAAACAAACAAGAACAAAGACTAACTCAACAACCAATAACGGCAGAATTTGCGTGGGTGGATACGATTCGCAGATATATGCTTTGACCTTCAAAGAAACATCCAGAAAGAGATGACAGAATAACTTTTACCGACAAAACAACCAATCAGAAGGTGCTGTTTCTCTAGTAATAATAACGTACATAAAAATATATAAATATGTCTTGATTTCCTCAATAAACGATCTGCTGTCTGACCCTTCTCTTCTGTTGTTACAGCCGAAGAGGCAAGGTTTTCATATAGACACAATCCTAAATCCCACTTGAAACAGGCTATGTGTGTACGACTGGTCGCAAGGAGTTGTAGTACAATGGGCGGACATAGTGCGACACTAATGCTCATTCTGTTTTAGGTGTTTTTGCAACATCTTTCCATCTGGGATAGATTCAGTGAGAAGAAGCGTGTGCTTTTAGTGAGAAGTAGTGACCAGTGGGCTCCATGAGGTCAAGAATGAGGATATATACTTTCCAGCGATGACACTGGTGGCTGGTGCCAGTCCCGCTAAAATTACAAATCGATAGAAGTTAGAATTCATGGGATGGCCATTGGGGAGTAGGGTTGCAAGTGACTGAATGGTCTGCGACCTTGACTTGTGATCGGAAGGTCATGAGTGCGAACTGGTGAAGAGTCCCGAACTAGAATGAAAAAGCTGTGCGCAGTACCCCCTATTGATTTTTAATGGTTCTACAACTGATATCAGCGTGTGGTCAAACTTGAAAGGTGTATTTAGTTGAGACTAAGACGAACTCGAACAAACAGTCATGAGAAGAGACTAGGCTTCATCAACCAGCATAACTCATTATGCAATAGTGGAAGTTTTTGATGTAATTGTGTTCTCTGAGCTGGATGGCTTATTTGCGAAGCTTTCATTGCCCTACTAGACAACATCGTTAGCGGATACTCCTGCTCAGACGACACAACTAAAGGCAACCACCTGAGCTACAAATCTCCTCCATCATAGCAATAGTGGAAGCATTAAAAAAACTAATAATAATTCTATTTTATTTAAACGCAGAAAAACTTGGTACAATATGGCACCAAGAAAGATGCGCCACACAATAATAATAATAAAACAACATAGATTAAAAGTAAAAATATAGGTAGAAAACGGATAAAGAACTTCATCTGGAAGGAAAACAGTCATGTTTAACAAGTTCAAACAGTATTCGTTAACTATCATGAGGAAGGGAAAAAAGAAGGAAATTGCAACACGTTCACCATTGGTTACGATTGCTTGCCATATCCGATAACGTTTCCAGCCATCGATTCGAGCTATCTCGTGGACCCCAACCAGGGAGTCGTGACACACCAACCGGTGCTAATCTAGCACAAATATCCTTCACCCCACGACGCCACGTCATGGACTCACCACCCCTCCACCTTTTCCATCTCGTCCCAGGGCTGGCTAGCGAACAGAGACCTGTACGGAAGCCTCTGGGATGACATTCGCAGTAAATGTCCAAGCCACCGGAGTCGGTCTTTCCAGATGACGACACTCAATGAATGGTGTTCTCCACTGTGTTCAAACACACGCCGCCGAACCTCAGATTTACTCACTAACACGATGATGCCATCGAACGCAAGCAATCCTGCGGAGACAGCGATGATCGAACACGCAGAATCGCTGCACATCCTCAGCTCGGAGAGGCCAGGTTTCACAGGCGTAGAGCAAGACAGCCTGCAACGAAGCATTGTATACCCGACCTTTGACAGCCAGACTAACGTCGCGACGGCGCCAGAGGTGGCTCAAGTTGATGTATGCCACCCTAGCCTTCATTATACGGTTAATAATAATAATAAGGATACTAACAACTCAAATAACATACCTTACTATCAGGACACCTAGCTGTAAGTCCTTCAGAGTATCTAAACACACCCGCACAGCATCCTCTAAACATCCAGCTAACAGAAATAATCCAGCCGCTTGAAGATATTTATGCTGGCTGAGTAGACGAAAGGCATTCAACTTCGCTTGTCGACAGGCTGGTTGACCAGGTGTAAAATCTGAACGGAAGAAATTCTCCAATGTTTTATTTCCAGTAGTTCTGATAAAAAGAGGGAAAGAGAAGAAGAGAACAAGACAAGATGTAAACATATTATGCAAACATGTTTGCTTTCTTGATTACCCGCTTAATGGAATCCAGCAGACTGACTGGTTACAACATAGAACCTTGCAACGATATGCAACAGTTCGAGTCACCACACTCCATGTAGCACACAAAGCAAGAAAAGAAAGTAAAAACAAATGCAAAACACGGATAATAAACAGAGATATGAGGCAAAAAGAATAGTAACATAGAAGAGCCATATAGATTTATTATATATTATAAGTCCAAAACAGTGGTTCGCGTAGGTGGCATAGCGGTTAGGACGCTCGCCGACCATGCACATGGTCAAGGGTTCGATCCCCGGCCGACGCACTCCTTTACCTCGCTAAGCCAGAAATAATCTTGGTAAAGAGGGAAGGTTGGGCATGAGGCTAGCAACCCCATCCTGTAAAATAAACACTGCTACAGGAACTTCGAGCCACTAGCTTGAAGCCCTATGTTCCACTGGGGAACGTGAAGGGAAAAAAACAGTGGTTGCATCTGTGCCAACATTGACAATGATTTTGAGCCATATCACCGATTGTCTCCAGTCTCCATTGGTTTTTACCGATCCGAGGTTTTACCAGACCCCAACCAGGAAGTCTACATCTTCCTACGTGACAGGCTGGCTTAAACTAACCGTTGTGGATATCATTGACTGATGAAGGCGTGTTTTGTTTCAACCGCCACTAGCTCTTTTCCAACCTGATCAATCTCATATCAGTTAACATTACGCGTCATCGAGGAAGGCGATGCCTAGGCATACGTAATATATGTCCCAACCATCTCAGTTGATGTAACTTCACAGCCTCATCGATTGATTTCCAATCATTACCTAGAACTCGACGCCTAACCCCAATATTGCTTACCCTTTTATACAATTTCACACGAGAGATAGAAAGCAAGCACCTATGATCAAAGACGGCTAGTCTTTTCACGCTTTTTCCACTTTCAATGGCTAAGTCTCGCAGTCATAAAGGAGGGCACTGCGAACTGCCGCTGAGTAGTACACCCTCCTTTGATCAATAGGCAGTCGGACATCATGTCTTCTAAGCCAGAGATGGCATCAGTCGGCAAATGCCAAACCAGATATCAACCCGGTGGACTTGAGTGAACTTCTTAAATAAGTCAAGTGGTGAGCACGCTCTATCACTTCACTTCCTCCGTATCTTTAAGCTAGGATTTGGTGTAGTCCAGTCCAGTAGTATCATCTTGCATTTGACGGGAGCGAATCGCATGCTTAACATTCGAAGATTGCAGCTCAAGATGTTCAGAAGACTCTGCAGTTTGTCACCGTCTTCACGTAGCAGGACTATGTCGTCTGCATATTCTATGTCAAGGGGACTATTCCCCGATGGTGACAAGTCAATCACTGAGTCACCAAGGTCAGTTAGGGTCAGGTCGATCAGTACATCTATGATGAAACTAAACAGGAATGGGGACAGTAGGCATCCCGGCCGGACACCACTAGTTGTCCCCACTTTATATGACCACTCTTCATAAGCTCTCACCTGGCTGTAGCCAGGTATTCATACATGAGATCGAGTAGAGTGTCTCAATCAGTGCGATGTATTTTCTTGGCATTTCCTTCACAGCCAAACATCGCCAGAGTACCTCTCGGTCGACAGAATCGAATGCCACTTTCATGTAGGTCAAGAAATATGAGGATAGTTGGACGCCGATAAGCATGACTATGTTCTAGAATCTATCGAAGGGTGGAGATATGATCAATACACCCTCTTTTTGGTCTGAAGTTTTTTTTGTAACAAGGGAAATTGGATAAAAATGAAATAGGGTAAAAGTGGGAATTGACATGACAGCAGCGTAAGTATACGAAATGCATTCACATTTTCCAGTTCGAAAATTAATTGTAGTTAATAAATTGCTAAATACAGAAAGCAGAATTGTTTGAGAATTTGTCTTCTTTTTTTCTTTTGTCTGCTAGTTTAATAGTAACTTAGTCAAGCGTAGCACAATAAACCTTCATATAAAAGTTTGCAGTAACCTTACCAATATATTTAATTTACTATCATGTTGAGGAAATTTGAGCACGCCTACAAAAAGCTCATGTGGCACTTGTCAACTTACGTCATCTCAGGGATAGACGCGATATCTGACTGGCAATCCATCAAGGGATGTGTGTACTACTCAGCCGTACTTCACTCCGTCCTTCTTCATGTCTCTGAGACGTGGCCATTGAAAGTGGAAGACATAGAAAGACTAGATCAAAGGTGTTTCCGTTCTGTCTCCCGTTTATGTTAGGTAGTATAACTGAGTGAATAGTATTGAGTTTAGGCCTCGAGTATTACGTAAAGTGGGTAAATCAACCAATAAGATTGTGAAGCTACATTGATTGAAATGGTTAGGATGTGTGTTACGCATTCACTACATACAGACAACCACTGACATCAATTCGACTGGG